CATTTTTTCTCTCGTAGGGCTGATCTTTTTTTTCTTTTATGACAGATCGATCGTTTTATTTCCTAATCCCTATCATATAGATTTATCATATAATTAAAAAATAAGGAATAAACTTGATTTCTCAACATCATTTACACTTTAGGTTTTTTTTTCTTTTCAGTTAAACAAAAAAAAACATCATTTGTCAAATAAAATGTCTTATGCAATTGTTGAATCTTTAAGAGAATTTTGGTATAAATGGCGTTCATCACGTGTACTTATTTTATTTATTGTCTTTGTTGCTTTATTTCTTGATAATATGCTCTTAACAACAGTCGGTAAGTTTTGTAAATTTTTGTTTTAGAAATTTCTTCTAATCTGTTTCTTTTATTATTATTATTCTTTTTTTTGTGAAAAAAAGTACCTATTATTCCTGAATATCTTTATCGTCTTCAACATCCAACAGAAGCAAAGGATGAGACATTCAAATTTTTAGCTGAAAATTGTTCAAATAAAGAAATTTTTCGACAACGAAGTTATTTTGTTCGACATCCATCTGAACTTCGAGTTGTACTTGCTACAACATGTAGTTGGGCTGTTGATTTGGGTATGAATAAAACAGAAATGGAAAAGAAACAGCGATCAATTAGTTTAGAACGCGTAAGAAACCGTGACTTTTTATAAATATGTATTTGATAATAGTTTATGTTAATATTCAATAGAAGCGGAAATGAAAAAAAAAGAATAGAGAAACATACAGAAAAAATTCTTCTTTTTCTTCTCGTTTTGATTTATTTTACTTTTTGTGTTTTGAAATAGGAAAATCGATGGATCGGAGTAATGTTTGCATCAAAAGCTTTTGTTCAATTATTAACAAATCCATTTGTTGGGCCATTAACAAATCGGTAAAACGAAAATATTGAATTTATATTATTCTTATTTTTTTTTTCATATATTAGAATTGGTTATAGTATTCCAATGTTTTCAGGATTTGTTATTATGTTTGTATCAACACTTAGTAAGAATTTGAAAGAATTTATATGATAAGAACAAGTATTATTTTTCTTTCTTCTAGCATTTGCTTTTAGTAAAAGTTTTGGTCTATTATTTCTTGCCCGAGCAATACAAGGCATTGGATCGGCTTGTTCTAGTGTATCAGGTAAAGAAGTACAAATCAAACAGGAAAAAAGCAATTATGTAAATTTATTTAGGTCTTGGAATGTTGGCTGATCGTTATCCGGATGATGAAGAACGAGGTAAAGCAATGGGAACTGCATTAGGTGGATTGGCTCTTGGCGTTTTAGGTAATCTATTTCGATAGATTTAATTTATTTCATGATCATTGTTTTAGTTGGTCCACCATTTGGAGGATTTATGTATGAATTTGTAGGCAAAGCATCACCATTTTTAGTCTTAGCAGCATTAGGTTTATTCGATGGCTGTAAGAATTCATTTATTTGTGATCTATTGACATAAAGAGTTTTTTTTTTATGAATAGTATTACAATTAACAGTATTGCAACCTGGTGTATCCGGTGAACCAATAGAAGGCGCTTCGCTTAAAACACTTATTAAAGATCCATATATTCTTCTTGCAGCTGGTAAAGAAAAGTAAACAGATGATTTTATTATATTTATTTATCATAAAATAGGTGCAATTTCATTTGGTAATGTTGGAATTGCAATGTTAGAACCATCATTACCAATTTGGATGATTTCAACAATGGGTGCAACTGAATTTCAACAAGGTAAAAATAATTGATTAATTTTAAAGTTAAATATGAAAAAAGAAAAGAAACATCTAGGAGCTGCATTTTTACCTGCTTCAATTTCGTATTTAATTGGTACAAATTTATTTGGTCCAATGGCTCATAAAATAGGAAGGTTTGTATACATAAAAAAAAACAAACTCTTTTCCTCTTTACATATATATTCTCTGATATATTTAGATGGTTATGTTGTATGATTGGTATGTTTCTTATATCAGTTGCTTTAATTGGTGTACCAATGGCTAAAAGTATATATGGTTTAATTATTCCAAATGGTGTTCTTGGTTTTGCTATTGGTATGGTTGATTCATCAATGATGCCAACAATGGGTTATTTAGTTGATATTCGTCATGCATCTGTTTATGGTAGTGTTTATGCTATTGCTGATGTTGCATTTTGTCTTGGTTTTGCCATAGGTAAATTTATTATTACTATTATTATTGTTTTTCTTCGAAAAACCTTATCTTACTTAATACAATTATGTGTTTTTTTTTCTGAAGGTCCTGCTTTAAGTGGTTTTATAGTACAAGCAGTTGGTTTTCGTGGTATGCTTTATATTATTTCATTTATTTGTTTTTGCTATGCACCAATGATGCTATTTCTACGAAATCCACCAGCAAAAGATGAAAAAATAGTAAATTGTTTTATTTTTTCAAAATCTCTTCATTTATATACTTAAATTTTTTTTTGTTTTTTTCTTTAGTCATTAATCATGAATGAAAACCATAATTCATTTTCTTATACACGCAGCAAATCTCTTGACAATGAAAATGGTTATTGATATCAAAAAAGAAAGACAACAATGATAAACTCTATTTATTTAGCAAAAGAAAATAAAAAATAGCAGCAAAACTTTCTTTTTTTTTACTCTAAAGTTGTATGTATCAACAATAAAAGAAAAGAAAAGACAAGTATAATAAAAACTAACAGCTGTTAAGAGTATAAGAATTAAATAAAGATATCGATTCATACTCAGATAAAAAAAAAATGTCAACAAATGAAAGTCTTCAATGGGCACGCATTGAAACAATTAATATTCCACCTCAACCACGTAGTAGTCATAGTACTGTTATTTATAATGGTTCT